GGGGGAGCAGCAAGGTTCTAGACGAACACATGCAATGAAAGATGTCATGGCCATCTTTGGAAAAACGTTAGCGATCTGATCATAGGGTTCCTGTGCGGATTTGAGATGGTACTTATAACTGTTTAGCACAGTGTCTGGCACATAGTAGGTATTCAATAAGCTGGAACTCATGCTGATGATGTAAATGTGTATATCATAGCTGCATGTGCACAGAGCAGATATGTTGACCCTAGATGTCTATGCATTTCTCCTCAAAGCAATCTGTTTTATAGTTATTTTATTGTCTGGCCTACTAGGCTGTGAATTCCATGAAGGCATAGACTTTATCTTATTTTATGCAAGAGTGTCAGCACCTAGAATAGGACATGATATGTAGTAGATGCTCAATAAACATGTTGGATGGATGGATGGACAGACGGATGGATGGATGGATGGATAAGCATGTAAAGATATGTACACAAGTGTGATTCTGTGGATGTGTGGTGAATGTAGGTGTGCAAATCTGTGGGTCTCCATCCCTCTGTGACTGCTCAGGCAAGACCACAGAACCGTACAAGTCCATCCTTAGGGGAAAGGAGCCAGTACCTGCCCCAACTGCTTTCTGTCCCCAGTGGTGGCCACCATGAGAGATCTGGGAAAGAAGGGGACACTGGAGGCAGCTGCTGGGGAGGCTCTGGGTCGGACCCTCACTGTGGCCCAGCTGGACGTGTGCAGTGATGAGTCAGTGGCCCAATGTCTCAGCTGCATCCAGGGAGGAGAAGTGGACGTGCTGGGTGAGACTGAAAAATCCCTGAGGTCACTCGCCCCCTCCCTGGCCTGAGCACAGATCCTCATCACAGCAAGGCCCCTCAGTGTCTGGGCACCAGCTCTCTTGCTTCATCAGTATCCTCTCACCCTGAACAGAAGGGGTAGACCAGTTGGCCAAAAGCCCAAGGCTTAATGGGAATACTGGAAATAAAATGAAATCTCAGGTCTGAGAGATTTTACTTAAGAAAACTTCTCACACATGGGGAACATCATATGTGGTTTGATGAATCATTTGGGGAAGGGAGCATGATGAAGAAGCAGCTCATGATTCCATAACCACGTCTAAGGAGGGTGGGTATGGCTGTTTTGAGGTAATTGGGGTCAGAGTTCAATTGCTCATGCATTAAAGTGGAGGTTGTTCCCGGCAGCCCTTCCCCCCTCCCAGGATTCAGGGTCCCCTGTAACAAACGTTGAATTATATGTGAAGACCATCAAGGCTCCACATTTGTCCACCCCCAAGATACAATGGACTGACCTGGGTTTGGAGTGGGCAGATGGGGTGACTCAGGGAGTGTCCCCTGAGGAGCGACACTGGGAGGGTTGGGGGACTGCAGAGTAACCCTCAGCGTCTCCCCCTCAGTGAATAATGCTGGCGTGGGCCTGGTGGGGCCCTTGGAGGGGCTCAGTCTAGCTACCATGCAGAAAGTCTTTGACACCAACTTTTTCGGAGCTGTCCGTCTGGTCAGAGCTGTGCTTCCCGGCATGAAGAGGAGGCGGCAGGGCCACATCGTGGTGGTCAGCAGTGTCATGGGGCTGCAGGGTAAGCTCTGGGACCCTCCCCGGGGAAGTCCCCCAGTGTCTGACCTTCCTTACCTGGAAGGATGGCAAATAGGTTTTAACTCATGTTCTAAATGAGCCCATGTTGAGAAGGATTCTGACTCAGAAGGAACAATTCTGGGAAAGATGAACTATGTCTGCCCTGGTGCAGGTCTAGGCAGTGGTGGTATAGCTGCTGCCAATGGCCATCAACATCCCAGCACCATCCCCACTTCCGAACACCTCCAAAATCTCTCCCAACCACCGCCCAATAACACACACACACACACACACACACTCACACCAGAGCTCCTCCTGAGACTCCTCTTTTTTTAAAAAAAAAATACTTTATTGATTTTGTACAGAGAGGAAGGGAGAGAAATAGCGAGCTAGAAATATCGATGAGAGAGAAACATCGATCAGCTGCCTCCTGCACACTCCCCACTGGGGATGTGCCCGCAACCCAGGTACATGCCCTTGACCGGAACCGAACCTGGGACCTTTCAGTCCGCAGGCCGACGCTCTATCCACTGAGCCAAACCGGTTTCGGCCTGAGATTCCTCTTTGACAAACACTGGCCACCAGGCCACAGAGAGGCCTAAGTCTGGGATTCTGAAGTTCCTCAGAGAGAGAGCAGTGATTGACAGTGACGTCTGCTATGGGCCTGCAATGGAAGCCACCTACTTGCCACCCATGCTCTTGGGTTTCTCCTCCTCGAACCCCTCAAGACTCCCTTCCTCCCCTGGGCGGTTCCTCGGATCTGCCCCTCTCCCCAGCTGTCCCCTAGAGAACCCGCCCTATTCCTTATCCTGCCACAGAGAAGCTGCATTTACTTCAATCGGGCGGGCGCTTTGGCCCCTCATTTAGCCCCATGGGCTGCTCAACAGGACTGAGAAGGGGCCGGCTGATCAGGACTTGTCCTCAGGGCCCTGGGATCCCAGACCCAAGTGGCCCCCAGGAGGAGGAGGATGGAGGGAAGTTAGAGCGTTTCCTGGGCTGAGGGCTGAGGGCTGAGGGCAGAGGGAGCACGGCTGGGAAGCAGTGGCACCTGGGATGCCAGGACAGCCTCCCCCTGGCCCCATGTGCTCCCATCACAAAATACCATACGCCCGTGAGGTTGGCCCCCCTGATAGCTCCTCATTCCAACCCTCAAACCCTCTTCGTCTGTCTCCCAAAGACCCCTTCCCTCTGGACCCACAAAACCCGTCACCCAGACCCCAAAGGGTGGCCTTCCTCCAACCCTCTCAGGTGTCGTGTTCAACGACGTCTACGCAGCCTCCAAGTTTGCCCTGGAAGGGTTCTTCGAGAGCCTGGCCATCCAGCTGCTCCAGTTCAACATCTTGTGAGGCGGGCCCTTGGGCAACAAGGGGAAACGGGGGTGGGGGGGGTGGTTAGAGGAAGCGGGAGGGGCAGACAAGGGAAAGGGGGTATCGAGGAGATGGGGGCTGGAGGGATGAAGTAATGAGGGGGAATGAGGGGTGAGAAGGGAAGAGGGACAGTCATGAGACAGATGGGGTGGGAGTGTGTTGGGGCACCAGACCCTCCCCCGCCCTGCCCCCAGCATCTCCCTGGTGGAACCCGGCCCCGTCAGCACGGCCTTTGAGGAGAAGCTGCTGGAGCAGGTGTCCGCCGCCCAGTTCCCAGGCGCCGACCCCGACACCCTGCGCTACTTCCGGGACCTCTACCTCCCAGCGTCCCGGGAGCTCTTTCGCTGTTTGGGGCAGAGCCCCCAGGATGTGGCCCAGGTGAGCAGGGGACCCCAAGACGCGGATTAGGTACGTAGGGGGCCCTCCCTACAGAACTGCCGTCCAGGCCCCAGCTCAGGGCGCCACCCCACAGGTCATCGTCAAGGTCATCGGCTCGGCCAGACCCCCCCTGCGCCGACAGACCAACGCCCGCTACTGCGCCCTGACCGCGCTCAAGGCCGCGGACCCCTCCGGCCGCCTGTACGTGCGATCGGCCCACCACCTGCTCTTCAGCTGGCCGGGCCTCCTGGGCCGGGGCCTCCGCTGCCTGGCCTGCGGCTGCTGCCCCACCCGGGTGCGGCCTGGGTGAGCCTCGCCCACCCCTGCCCACTCCTGAACAGCCAGACCAACCCCAGTGCACACCCAGGTCAGAGGCCACACAGGCCATTCACTCATTCATTCATTCACTCACTCACTCATTCATTCAGCAAATTCAGCCTCCAGGCACAGACCCTCGTGGTCAGGGCTGGGGCAGAGAGAAGGAACCCAGGACCCTGGGCTGAGGAATCCAAAGCAGGGAGCTGGTGCTGCGTCTGGGAAGGCCAGGGGGGCTTCCTGGAGGAAGGGGCATTGTCCATGGACATTGAAGGGTGAGACAGTCTGTCTCTCAGCATTTCATTATCTTGGGCCTGGGAACACAGGGATGATCCAAACACCTCCATCACCCCGCCCTCCCCCATCCCTGCAATACACACATGCATAGAGCTGGGTTCACCAGGGGGTCTTCGGACTTTTCTGGTCACACACACTCCATCAACAAAACGTGTTTGTGCACACGCCATCAATGTACATATGCTTTTCACCAAATATAGATTTGTAACCACTAACAATCTCTATATTAAATATTTAATACAGCTCAATTTCTTATGTCTAAATAAAAAATTAAAAAGCAATAGGGTCTGCTTCACACCCATTAGAATGCCTAATATCAACAACAAAAAACAAAACAGAAAATAATAAGCGTTGTCAAGGATGTAGAGAAATTGGAACCCTTGTGCATTGTTGGTAGGAATGTAAAATAGTGCCGCCCCTATGGAAAACAGTGTGGCAGTTCCCTGAACCATGGAAAAATTATTATATAACCCAGCAAGTTCATATCTGGGTGTGTATTTGCACACCCACGTTCATAGCGGCATGACTCAAACCAGCAACTCAGCTGTCCATCAGTGGATGAATGGATGAACAAGTGTGGCCGATCCATACAGGGAAATGTTACTCAAACTTAAAAAGAAGTGGACACGTGTCTGCCATGGATGAAACTTGAGGACATTATCTAAGTGAAATATGCCTTCACAGATAGACAAATACTGTGGGATTCCAATTATATGAGGTCCCTACGGTAGGCAAATGCATAGAGACAGAAAGTAGAATGGTGGGTGCCAGGGGCTGGAGGGAGGGGGAGGGGGAGTCGGTGTTTAATGGGGAAAGAACTTCAATTTTGCAAGATGAAGGGTTCAGGAGATGGATAGTGATGATAGTTACACGACAATGTGACTGTACTTAACACTAATGCACTGTACACTTAAAAACATTAAGATGGGCCCTGGCTGGTGTTCTCAGTGGTTAGAGTGTCAGCCTGCACAGGCAGGGTCTTGGTTCAATTCCCAGTCAAGGGCACATCCCCATCCGGGCATGCGTAGGAGGCAACCAGTGGATGCATCTCTCTCATATCAGCGTTTCCCCGCCCGACCCCTCCTCCCCCTCGCCTCCCTTCTACTCTCTCCAAAGAGCAATAAGAAAAATATCCTCAGGTGAGAATTATCAAAACAAAACAAAACAAAAATGCTAGGATGCTAAATGTTGTGTTATGTATCTTTTTACCACAATTAAAATGATTTGAAAAGTGATAGGGGTCCCGCCTGAGTCCCCGACAAATGATCCCAAGTTTCCTGGCCTTCCTCCGGTGAATCTGGGAGCAAACGGACTCTGGGTGACTCTGGGCAGGTGACGCCCTGGCCTCACCTTCTGTGAAGCAGGGTTAGCAGCGATGGCGCCGGAACAACAGTCCAGGCCCCTGCACTGTTCCTCTTCGCCTGGGGTTTTTGCTGTGGCTCAGGCTCAGCTACCACCTTGGCAACATTGTTTTCATTCATGTTTGCTCTGCAGCCTCCTCAGACGGAGGCACTCAGAACCTCCCCAGTTCGTAAATGAAGAAACGGAGGTTGTCAGGAGCAGAGGAGAGGGATAGGCGTCAAGTCCAGGCCCGTCCAACTCCGTTTCTACCGGTCTTCAGGGGTCTCTAGTGACCTGGAAGAAGGGAAACTGAGTCTGGGGCCCTAGGAAGAGACGTCTGAGAGATAGGAAGGGGGGGTACTTCGTATGTTTTATCAAATTAAGTTCTCTCTCCTCTTCCTTATTGGATTTTTGAAACGATGTTGTAATACCTTTAAAAGAACATATGAAAATAGGTAGTGGGGATGGTTGCACAAGCGTGAATATACCCCAATCCACTGATTCTGCACTTTAAAATGGCAAGCTTTATGGTACGTGAATTACATCTCAATTTGGAAATTGATTTTCAAAAGGCCATATAAAGCGCACAGATGCAGGAGGCCTTTGGATCGCCCCCGGAGGCTCACCCGCCCCCCCCCTCCAGTACCTCAACCACTCCCCTCCGCCTTTGGCTCCCGGTGGTGTTGGCTTCTGCCAATGGGAGGCCCGGGTAGATCAGAGGGCGGGAGGAGAAAGACCAGCGCTGTCCACTGGGCCTCAGTGGAGCCACAGAATCTCTCCATCTGAGGCGCAGCTCCAGCTCCGGAGAACCACCCCTCCCCTGGCCCCTTTCAGCTAAAGATGAAGATGGGACCCACAGCTGCCAGCAGAGGGCACTGCGCCAGCCGCCACAGGACTCCCTGCCCCGCCCTTTCCTTCATAATCGCCCCTCAGGACTCCCCATGGACCCACTTGAGTGTGCTCTCCCTTCCATCCAGGATGCTGGCCGAGGTCACACATGTGCCTCAGACAGCAGAGGAGCAAAAGGCGCACTCGCTAGACCACCAAGAGAACATTATCGATATTCGCGGCCTGCCTTCCCCCCAAGGTCTCCAACCGTCCTGAATTTTATGTCCAACATTTCCTTGCTTCCTAAAATCTCCTTTAACTAAATCATCTTAGGAGACAAATTGCTCTCTTTGTCAAGAAGGAAAAGCCACCCTAACCGGTTTGGCTCAGTGGATAGAGCATCGGCCTGCAGACTGAGGGGTCCTGGGTTTGATTCCGGTCAAGGGCATGTACCTTGGTTGCGGGCACATCCCCAGTAGGGGGTGTGCAGGAGGCAGCTGATCGATGTTTCTCTCTCATCGATGTTTCTAACTCTCTATCCCTCTCCCTTCCTCTCTGTGAAAAATCAATAAAATATTTTTTTTAAAAAAAGGAAAAGCCATCATAGTCACCATAAATGAAGCTGAACTGGATATTCATTTGTGGGTGAGGCATACAGTAACCCCAACCCCCCACTCATTGACGTGCTGTGTGAAAAAACACCGGCCCTTTTCTCCCAGCTTCTCTTGCAGCTAGAGCGTGAGCGTGTAAGCCCCATTCCACTCAGCAGATGCATATGACTTAGAATCGAGAGGCGGCCGCCCAGAGGAGGCAGGATCCGCGAGGACACGCGGCCGAGGAGACAGGAGCCGTGTATTGCCAGGCTTGACAGCAAAACCTGGAGCTGATGGCTGGTTCCAGGGGCGATGGTTTAAGCTGTGGCCTCAGCTGCTGCCCTGCACCCCAACTTTGTTCCTTTTCTTTTTTTCCTTTTTTTTATCCTTACCCAATGATATGTTTTATTTATTTTAAAGAGAGGAAGAGAGAGAGAGAAACATCGATGTGAGATAGAAACATCCATCGATTGCCTAAGTATGTGCTGTGACCGGGAATTGAACATGCAACCTTTTGATGTCCGGGATGACGCTCCAACCAACCCAGCCAGCCAGCCAGCCAGCCAGCCAGGGTCACTTTGTTCCTCTTTATCTTCCAAGGCTGGTGATTGCATGAGCCCCCAGCATCCAGCCAATAAATTCCTTTGCAGCTTAAATCACCCTGAGTCAGTTTCGGATGCATTTAAGGAAGAAGCATCACCGATCCAGATGGCAGCTATAAAAATAAGTGTGGGGGGTGGGGGAGACAACTGTTATTAACTAGCTGGATGCTCTTGCTATTTTATTGTTTACCACGGAGTCAACAGAGATTGGCAATTCAAAGAGTGTCCACGACGCACCAACCTTTGCCCCTTTATTTCAACACTCATACCTGATCCCCCTGCCTTCCCCATCGTAACAAAGACAAGTTCGTTCCTCCAGTGGCTCCGGCCAAAAATCTTGGAGTCCTCTCTAGTTCCTCTCTGTCACACCTCACAGCAGGAGATCTTGTTAACGTGACCCGCAAAATACATTCAGAACCAACCACATCGCACGCCTTCGTGGCCTCCACACTAGTCCAGCCACCGTCATTTCTCCCTTGGAGTATTGCACCAGCCCTCTTCCCCTCCTGCCTTCTGCATTTGCCCCTACAATCCACTCTCCACATAGCAGCCCAGGGGAGCCTTAAAAAGATCTTTTGAATAAGTAAAATGTTCACAATGGTGGGGTTGTTTGTTTGTTTTGGGGGGGGGGCAGGGTTTACATAATTAAAGGATTTTTTTAAAAAACAATTCTGCCCTGGCCTGTGTAGTTCAGGGATTAGAGCGTTGGTCTGAACACCAAAGGATCCGCAACCAATTGATGTTTCTCTCTCTCTCTCTCTCTCTTCTCTCTCCCCCTCCCTCCCTTCCACTCTATCTAAAAATCAATGGAAAATATATCCATGGCCCTCCTGGTGTGGCTCAGTGGTTGAGCATTGACCTGTGAACTAGGAGGGCACATGCCCGGGTTGCAGGCTAGATCCCCAGTAGGGGACTTGCAGGAGGCAACTGATCAATGATTCTCTCATATATATCCATGAACAATAATTTATGCAATCAGTCCTGTACTGATGAATTTTGGATTTCAAGTCATAGTAACAAAGGACATACCCAACATGATTCTACTAAAACAGAAAAATAACGTCACCCCTCTTTTCAAAACTCTTCGATGGTTTCCCCTCTTACTTAGATTTGAATCACCAACCGTCAGGTAGGTCTCCTACAGGACCTCATCCCTGAATACCTGTCTCAACTCACCTCCCACTCTCTCCCCTTCACCCACTTCATTCCAGGAACGCGACCTCCTTGCCGCTCCTTGAACATGCTGTGCACACTCCCGCCTCCGGGCCTTTGCGCTGGCTGTTCCTTCTGCCGGGAACGCTTTCCTCAGATGGCCACATGGTTTCCCGCTCCAAATCCTTAAGGTGCTCAAAGTCACCAACTCAGAGAGGACCCCCTGACCCCCACAGGTAGTACCCTGTCACTCCATCCCCTTAAACCACTTCCTTTCTCATCACTGACATACATGCTACAACTGTAGTCACGGTTTGTTTCTTGCCCATCTCTACCCACTAGAATGTCAACTTCACAGAGAGGAGATGGCTGTCTGTGTGCTCAGCCGTATCCCCAGGATCCACCACATGATAGATACCCAAATAGCTGATGAATGAATGAATGAATGAATGAATGAATGAATAGGTAAGTTAACACGTTAACATGAGACTCTCCTAGCCCTGGGCCATGGGTGGGACTGGAAGGGACTAAGCTGGGCGCCTCCTGGCTGCACAGTCCGAGCCGAGAGCTTGGCACCTCCTACCTGAGCCACCAAGAGCACTTTCCTGTCTGTAAAATAGAGGCGTTGCCGGAGAGAAAGTGCCAGAACTTAGTAGCTGTTTCAGAAATGACAGCCCTTCGTCGTGGTGTTCCTATGGGTATTATTCCTGGCCTCTGGGCCCAGCCCGGCCTTTCCCGGGAATCCCGGCTGGACGCCCTGGAGGAGGCGGCGGAGGGAAACAGACCACACATCCCTGAAAGGCCGTTCCTCCCGCGCCGGCCTCTCCGCTGCACACGCGGGCTTCCAGGGAGAGGACGATCTGACCACTGGGTACACTGGCTCTTGGATCTCTAAGGAGGTGCTAATTTAGCCTCTGCCTGAGGCTACCCAGCAGGAGCTATGGATCGGCGTCAGGCCGGAGGCTAGCTGGCGCCCTCTCGTGGCCGAGCGAGAGACTGAACTTGACCATGACCGGCCGGAGGGGGCAGGTGGAGCCCACAGCTGCTCTCCTCACCTCTTACCCTCCTCCTGCTCCCGCTTAGGCCCGGGTTGGGAGCTCAGCTCCATCGCTGAGCTGCTGCGTAACCCTGGGAAAGTCACTCAACCTCCCGGTGCCTCAGTTTCCAAGCTGCAAAATTTGGGGCAGGACACTTCACCCTCCAGTGCCTGGGTTTTTTCATCAGCAAAATGGGGCCGTGGGTTAAGTTGCTGAAAGGATTAAAAGAGACAGTCCTGCCCTGACAGGTCTAGCTCAGTGGATAGAGCGTCGGCCTGCGGACTGAAGGGTCCCAGGTTCGATTCCGGCCAAGGGCATGTACCTTGGGTGCAGGCACATCCCTAGTAGGGAGTGTGCAGGAGGCAGCTGATCGATGTTTCTCTCTCATTGATGTTTCTAACTCTCTATCCCTCTCCCTTCCTCTCTGTAAGAAGTCAATAAAATATTAAACAAAAACAAAAAAAGAGACAGCCTGGGCCGGCCAGTCTGGTCAGAGGTTAAGCGTTGACCTATGAACCATGAGGCCACCATTCGATTCCCAGTCAGGGCACATGCCCCTGTTGTGGTCTCTGATCAATGGTTCTCTCTCACCGTTGATGATTCTGTCTCACTCTTTTTCTCCATTCCTCTCTGAAATCAACAAAACATAATTTTTAAAAAAGAGAGAGACAGTCCTGGTGGACGTGTCTACAGAAACTATCCACTCCAAAAGGGCAAGAGTTTTGTCATGTTCACTGCTGTGTCCCCAACGCCTACAACAAGGCCAGGTACACAATAGGTGCCTCATGCACAGTAACTGGACAAAGGCTTGTCATTCTTCTTTGGGGGAATCTGGGGTGGGGTGGGGTGGGGTAAGGGGGAACAGTTGTATGAGATGCGAGTGTCTGCTACCACTCGCTCGCCCAATACCTGCTCTTGTCTCCATCCGTTTGTTCACTGGATGGCAAGGTCATATCCCAACAGGCACCTCCCCCACCCTGTTTGCTTTCGGTGTTTGCTGCTCCTCTGCTGTTCATCGGCTGAGAGCTCTTTACACCTCCTACCTGAGCCAGCAAGGGCACTTCTTCCCTTCCTGGGACCACCCCCAAGTCAAACAGAAGCTCAAGGGAGCCACAGGCCGGAGCATGCTTCAAAAAAGGCTCCGATGTGCCCACCTGGCAAGGTTCCCCACTCGGAAGACAGAGCCACTTGAACTGCCCGAGGAAGCCCCGCCAGGAGAGAACGTGGGAGGGACTGAGGCTAGCACCTCTGAGCCACTTACCTTTGGACAAGACCCTGTCCTGGACCTGGGAGGCCCCGGGACAGGGGGTGTGGGGGGGGCATGACCTGGTGTGGGACAAAGATGGGAAGGAGAGGGCTCATTCCAGCCAAGGGAGAGCTGGCCAGAACCGGTGGAGATTCCCTAAGAGCCTGGTCCACCCCAGATGAACACCAAAGTTCTAGAACCTCCTAAGTTAGATGTCACCTGCTTCACCAACCCAGGCCTTAATTTGATTCTGCTGATTCCTTGCTTCCTGAGATTGTTTACCATGGATGTAAGCACCTTGCCCGTCCTCTTAGCTCATCCGTGTGCCACAGCGCACGTGACTCACCCTCCTGGGGCCTCGGTTTCCTCATCTTTACAATGGGTGCTAATTCTTACTTCAGCACGGCTGTGAGACTTACGTGAATGTACACAGAGCACGTAAAACAGCGTCTGGCACATAGTAAGTGCTCCATAAATGCCCGAGGAGTCAATAGCTAGAAGCTACTTGCCCCCCTTGTTTCGGACACACGTGGGGTTCCGGTGCTCTGCAAGGATGGTCTGGAAAGTCAGCACGCGCTGAATCTAACGCACAGAAGGAGAGGGGGTTTAAGAAGAAGGCACACCTGCGGCCCAGTAGAGAGTCTGTCTGTTGTGGTCACTGCTGTGTCCCCAGCATGCTAAGTAGGGCTGGGCTCCTGGTAAACACTGAATGAATCTTTGTTGGATAAATGTATATCATCGTTGTTTGGGGAGATCTGGGGCCCTCCAAGAGGGAAGACCCCCTCCCCCAAGCTAGCAGCCCTGAGTTCCCAGAAGAAGGAAAAACCAGACAACCTTGTCTGCAACCCCGCCTGCTTCTGAGAGAAAGACACCACAAAGCGGCCCTTCATCCTTAATGGGCCCTTTAAACAGCCAGAGAGAATTATTTCCGAACAGAGAAAGCTTTCTTCCAGAGATGCCTCAAGCATGATGTGTTTTTGTCCCGGTTTGATATGTGTAATTCGCCTTTGGAAAAGGAGCCCAGAAGAGCTTGGCATGATTTAGGGACAAAGGACAATGGTCATAGTTTACAGAGCATAACTGTCTCCTGCAAAGAAGGAGAAGGATGCTGGGTGCAGAAAGATCAAGAGCAAAAGGCGTGGCTCCATAGAGGGAGGGCGGGCCAATGCTCCAGGGGGTCACTGGTTCGATTCCGGGCGGGCACATGCCCCAGGAGGGGCACGCAGGAGGCAGCAGATGGATGGTTTCTCTCATTGAGATTTCTGTCTCTCTCTCTCCCTTCCTCTCTCTCTGAAATCAATAAAAATATCTGTGTGTTTTTTTTTAATTAGCCCGGTCGTGGTGGCTCAGTGGTTGAGTGTCAGTCTATGAACCAGGAGGTCAGGGTTTGATTCCCTGTCAGGGCACATGCCCAGGTTTCAGGCTCAATCCCCAGTGGGAGGCATACAGGAAGCAGTTCATCAATGATTCTCTCTCATCATTGATGTTTCTATGCCTCTCTCCCTCTCCCTTCCTCTCTGAAATCAATAAAACTATAGATTTAGCCCTAGCTGGTTTGGCTCAGTGGATAGAGCATCAGCCTGAGAACTGAAAGGTTCTGGGTTCGATTCCGGTCAAGGGCACATGCCCGGGTTACAGGCGGGTAGCCAATGATTCTCTCTCATCATTGATGTTTCTATCTCCCTCTCCCTCTCCCTTCCTCTCAGAAATATAGATAGATAGACAGATAATTTTTTTTTAATTTAAAGAGCAAAAGGATCTGAGCCGTGCATTTCTCAGAATGTTCCATTATGGTGGGCCCTGGAGCTACACGGCTAAATGCCTTATGGCTGCTCCAACCTGTGATTGGGAAATGGATTTGTTACTGTCCCCGGCCCCCCAGGGGAGGCTTGGCTGAGAAGGAGGAGCAGCCGCTCTGCTCCCATTGAGTCTCTGGGGATCCCCTCCCATGTCCATTACATATTAACTCAGCCAGGACAGGCCAAGGCAAACAGGCCAGAGCCGGGCGGACAAGAAGACAGGCGTCTGTGGCCGGCGGCCCACATCACCGTCCCACTGCCATGGACGTGCCCTGGTCCCTGGGGTTGATCCTGCTCCTCTTGGGGATCCCCCTCACCCACGCTGAGCCACTGTGAGTCTGGGAAGCTGAGGGGAACCTGCCTACACATCTGTGGTCTTCATGACTCCCCGCAGGGGACCCCGTCGGTCTCTGCCGTTGCCTCCCCCACTGGAGGCCCCTGGGCCCTGTGTTTGTCTGTCGGCAGGTATATCCTGGTGACCCCCCGCGTCCTGCGGGTCGGCAACCCTGAGAACATCCACGTGCAGGCTCACTCGGACTCCGGGCAGCCCCTCACCGGGACCCTGGAGGTGAACCTCACTGTGTGGGACTTCCCCCGGAAGAAGGCAGAGGTGGCCAGAAGCCAGCTCACTCTCTCACCAGAAAACCACTTCATGAGCCAGGCAGCCCTGATGGTAAGTGACGGGCCAGCGTGGGTGGCCACAAAGGGAGGCTCCAGGCCGGCAGCAAGGGCGGAGAGTGGCAGGCTCTAGGGGGGACTTCCACTAGATGCGCGAGGGAATGGGCGCAAGGCATGGATCTACTTAGTGCTGCCCTTATGTCCTGTCCATTTAGAAATCCAAGATCCCTTCATCTAGGCTCCCAGAAGGGCCATGATCATTAGCCTATAATATAGGTCATATATGATTCCTCTGTGCTAATTATAAAGGCGCCCTCTGCTGGTGACTTGGAAAACTGACCACGGACTGGATTGTATCTCCGCTTGGAGGCAATGTCCTTGTGCAGGAGCAAACTGCACAGCCACACGAGGCGACCTTGCTCCCAAAGGCAGAGCTGGAGGGCCCCCATTCAGTTGGCTCTCCCAGGATCTGGCCCAGGGCTTTGCTCCCAGGGATGGAGACCCCAGCAGGGCCTGAGGAGTGTGGGCATCTCTCCCCAGATTCCCGAGAGCCTGGTGTACCCCCCACAACCAGGGCAGCAGCATGTCATCATCCGGGCAACATGGGCACCCACCTCCACCTCCTCATTCATGGAGAAGGTTGTGCTGGTGTCTCCCCATGCTGGCTACATCTTCATCCAGACGGACAAGACCATCTACACCCCTGAGCACATGGGTACAGCCTCTGCGCACTTGGCCTGGAGCAGACATTGCCTCTCCCCCCAGCCTCCCCCAATGCCCAACGTCTCCCACCTGCCTAGGTCCCCCCACTGCCCAAGATTATAATGACTACAGCCCTCTCCAAACTCTACGCAACACTCAGCATCTTCCCTCCTCCTCCAGTTCAGTACCGGGTGCTCACTGTGAACCACAAGATGGATCCTGTGACCAGGACATTCACTCTGGACATCAAGGTGGCCTCTCCTGTTGGCAGGGTGGGTCCCAGGCACTGGGGTTATATCGTGTGCTGAGGGCCTGGGAGCATGAACAACCTGCCCGCTGTCCCCGCAGAACCCGGAAGGGATCACTGTGATCAGCCAGGATCTGCTGGCCAGCAGAGGTATCTTCGCGAGCTCCTTCCACCTCCCAGAGCTCATCAGGTGCCCTACTGGGAGCCCTAGGGCCGGAGGCGGGGGGGGGGAGAGGAGGCGGGGGGGGGTAGATTGGGGGAGGGTCCTCCTCAGTCTCCATCTCTCCTAACTTTCTGTGCCTCAGTTTTGGGACCTGGACCATCGAAGCCAGTTACCAAAGTGCAGCCAAGCTGAAGTTCAAAGCAGCCTTTGACGTGAAGGAGTATGGTGAGCAGCGTGGGAGGGGGAGGGGGAGGTGGGACAAGCCAGAAGCAGGGCTGGAGATGCAGAGGAGGTCTTGTGGCACACCTACTGTGTGCCAGGGCCTGGACTGGGGGCAGGTGAAC